ATGGCGTCGGAAACGCTTTTGGCTTCGGAAGAGGGGCGAGCCGGCTTCCACGGAGCAAGGCGCGACACTGCAAACTCCCTCTGCAAGTCAAACCATCAAGGAGAGCTGTGAACCGATTCCAGGGATAACCCACAAGTAAACCTCCAGAAAGCCACGATGACATCATCCGCCAATGCCTTTACTCATGGCTGATTGCCGGTCAGTCGACAAACTAATATCTATTGACCAACCTTAGCCAGCTCTTCAGCCCATCTCATCTAACGACTTTCCTCGACTAACGCTTTGTCGTAACAGACTCTGTGGCTCACCTCAACTATCTGTTCAGCAAAGATTATCTAATCAACAACTTGGCTAACCTTCTGTGTAAGCTGCACTCAACTAACTCTTTGGCTAATCCCACTACTTTCTTCCGGCCAACCTCAACTAACTTTTGGCTCGCCCTAGCGCACTTTACAGCTAGGCATGGCTAAGTTGTCCGTCCACCTTAGCCAGCAGTTCGGCTGTTGTTCACTAACTCCTCAGCTACCCTGAACCAACGACTACCCTCGGCCGACTCTTCGGCTGCCCGTAAAAAACTGTTAGGCTAGCCTAGCAAACGACTAAGCTTAACTCATTCTTCGGCTGACGAGCACAACTAACCCGTTGGCCAATCCTGACTCACAGTTCGGCTAACCAGACATTCTTGCTCGCAGCCCCTGCCTCCTTTTTCCACCACCTTTGCAACAGCACCCTACAAGTTTGCGCCTCCTGCCTCCACCTCAGCCCCAACAACGGTTTGGCAATTCCGTTTTTTTGGTACCATGCCCTCCCCCCCCATCCCCCTCTGGCGGCATTTTTCCCTGCTGCGAGGTTCAATTTGCAGAGCGAGGACTTTGAGAGGCAAAAGGAAGAGGCCCCCCATCGCGCGGCGTCTCAGTGGCCCGTGTCACTGGCGCCGCGCGCTGAAGAAATGTCGGCGCCCTTCGAATGCATGGGGTCGGCCAGTTTGGAGCGCATCAGACTCCCACCTCCTCAGCTCAGGGCAGCACATGTTGATTCCTGCTGCTTATCTTTGCCATTCTTACAGACCGCGGCGCCATTCTGTTCGTGCACAAGCAAGCTGAAACAAGCACCTCGAAGTTGGTTGAATGCCCACCAATGTTGTGGCCGCTGAGCCCAGGAGTCAAGAAAGGTTCAAGCTCTCGTAAGATGAGCTTGAACGGCACAAGTCGGCCAATTCAGGTGCACACGCCATTGTCACGTATGCCGCCATTGCTGGCAGTGGAACCTGGTCACAGGACATAGCGCGGGAAGCGTGAACAGTGACATTATTCGTCAGTAAGGGCTTATTCTCATCGTGCATGAGCTTGTCACCTTAGCCTCCCCCCCCTCGCCCCCGCAGAATTGCAATGCAACTATGGAAACTAGAGCTCCCTCGTGTCAGGAAATCAGCTCTACGGTCACAACGATTCACTCAGGCCTTCCTGCCTAAAGTTGCAGAGACACTCCCGTTGGGTTCAAGAACTTCAACTTTCGCGCTAGATTCCCTCATGCACAGCCCAGATCGTTCTTTGTTGCATTCTTATTTCCGTTCTTGTGGTGCTGCGTTATTGTTTCTGTTCTTGCGCTCCCCAAGCATGGAACGCACCAGCCACAAATGCAAAAGCCAGCCTGTCAGGCACTGTCAGGCATGAAACAATAAGTTGCTCCTATCGAGTTGAACTACATGCAAAAGCCGGCCTATCGTGGCGCTGCGAATCATGCATTTCTCAACTGTGGCATCTGTAATCCTGTTCATGTTCATCATCATCATCATCATCATCATCACCACCACCACCACCACCACCATCATCATCATCATCATCATCATCATCATCATCATCATCATCATAATGTTCATCATCATCATCATCATCACCATCACCATCACCATCACCATCACCATCACCATCATCATCATCATCATCATCATCATCATCATCATCATCATCATCATCATCATCATCATCATCATCATCATTTTCATCATAATGTTCATCATCATTATCATCATCATCTTCATCATCAGTGGGAGCTTGTAGACCTGTGTGTGGTGAACTCCCTCAAAAACTTGGGGGTCGAAACCTGGATTTGGAGCACCCTGTCTTGGGTTTAAACCCTAAACCCTAAACCCTAAAAACCCTAAACCTAAACCCTAAAAACCCTCAACCTAAACCCTAAGAAACCCTAAACCTAAACCCTAAAAACCCTAAACCCTAAGAACCCTACTAAACCCGAAAAAAACCCTAAACCTAAACCCCAACAACCCTAAACCTAAACCCCAAAAACCTTAAACCCTAAAAACCCTAAACCTAAACCCTAACAACCCTAAACCTAAACCCTAAAGGCAGCGGCAAACATCCCCATGAAGATGCTTGTGGGCGAGCCGCGTGTTTTGTGGGTATTATTACTAGGTTATCCACCTTGATTGTATTGTTCCAGGTGCGTGACTGTGTGAGTGTGATGATGAGGGAGTCGTCGTTTGGACTTGGTCGTTCTGTTTTGTTTGCCTTTGTTTTGAAGGGCAACCAAAGAGAAGCCCATTGTATTGTTCCAGGTGTGTGACTGTGTGAGTGTGATGATGAGGGAGTCGTCGTTTGGACTTGGTCGTTCTGTTTTTGCCTTTGTTTTGAAGGGCAACCAAAGAGAAGCCCAGCTTTCAGAGCGACCAACCAGGGGAACAAGGAATCAAAGGTGAAGCTTCAATTGGCACCCATCTATGTGTCTAAAAAAAATAAGGGAAACCCAGGTTACTTGTTTAATGGAAATCCTGTGTGACCCCTTCATTTCTCAGGCTCCCAATGTAAAGATTTCCCCAGATAAATCAGTTTGTTGGCCGCAGCGCTTCCGTTTCCTCTGAAGAGCTCTTGCCTCCAAGAGAAGAGTCTGGCTTGTCTTGGGTTCGGATCTTCGGGTTACGTTATTTGAAGGAGAAACAAAACACCAGCATGCTTGGTGGTCCTATGTTGAGACGAACCTAGAAGGGCCCACTTTCTATTCGATTCTATCTTATTTTACTATCATCTACTATTGAATAGTGTCTTGTTTCTAATCTGTTATCTCCTGAGTTATTCTTCATTGCAAAGTAAAATACACAGATACACATCTCGTGCAAATGCTAGAAGTATTTGCTGTCATTATGGTAAGCCGCGAAACGAGAAATGGAAAAGAAGCGCCATCAAACTCTTTCCGTGGGACATTGCAAATTGGCACTTTCTCGGCCCCAGCTGGCCTTGACCTAGCTTGGAATGTAAAGGGATGGACAGGATAGGTGGAGAGTCCTTTCCCCCTTCTGTCCAACTACTTGTTTTCTAAAGACAGCCTCTTAATTATATATATATATACATCATATGACATGATATTGTTTGTTTCACTTTTTCGTCCGTGAACATCCCACATGTCACTTCTCTCGCCCCGCCTGTGGCGCTGCTCGGCCAGGCCTCGGCGATCAGCGAAGCACGCGGGTGGATGAAACATCTGCGTGTCAAAAGTAAGTACCCCCAAATGGCTTGCCCTGGTAAATGGAGACATGGACTCAAACCCGTGGTCCAATTCCTGGTGGTTTAAGTTTGACCCATGCCCATATGATCAGAACATATCGAAACCCTGTGACGGCAATGTGGGCCTTTGCGCGATTCTTGAATCATGCCCATCGGAGCCTCTGGCACAAGAAGTGAAAGTGATGCTCAGAATCGCCGTCTGTTCAAAGATGACTCAACACGCATGAGTTTCCCGGCCACTGAAACATCCTTGGGAAAAGTACCTCCAAATGTCCGAATCAGAGTATGCTCTGGGGTGGAGCCGAGAGTCGCCAGACCTCAATTTTCCAACCTTGTACCCACAATGCGAGGAAAGCTGGTCTCCGTTTTGGATTGACTGTTTGCGCCCGGAGCTGAGAAACCATGCGACCAATCGCAACATCAGATTTGCGCTGAGCGCCCTGCCACGCTCTTGCAACGCGCGCCACGCGCGGGGCGCCGCCCTTGACACGCCGATCCAGCCGAAGACAAGAATGCAAAACGAGGGAAAGGGTCCGATGCCTCTACAACCACCAAGGCCCCCCTAGGTATACGATCGTGCTGGAGCTGGCCGCATCGCCACACCTCTCAAGTTGTTCTCTCTCGCTCTTGTGAGCGTTTACACGTCTAGCTTGCCAGCGTTATTCAAAAGACAAACCGAATCCCTGAAGATGTAGCATAAAGTAAGGCCAGGGCTTACTCCCAAAGCAAACGGCAGGGCAGCGAGGTACAAGCGGAACCACCGTGCATTCCCTCCCAAGCCTGATACAAAACCCGCAAACACACCGCTAAATACTCTCCACCAAAAAGGAAGCAGCAGCGAAGTGCTAGAAGCATGCTCCCAAGAAAAGATCGAGGCCTGTTTGCGCTGTGGTCAAAGCGCTTTTCAAAGTGCAAACATACAACAGATGCAGTGGGCTGGGCTTACGCAAGGAGTCGTATCGCTATCAACCCCGCAGACGCTGGGATCACACGTGCGCTCAACCCTGACTACACGAAGTGTGTTTTGAATGCCAATCTCTCGATGCAGGACATAGGTCGCTTGCTCAGGACACAAGTACTCCTAGATCTAGAAACCTTGTGATCTCCTCCCACAAGCTCTACATATTCCATGCATGCAAAGCGAAGGCTGTGTGAGAAGTGAAGGGTTAGGACGAGAGAAATGGTTGAGGCTGTGGATATAAAGTAATGACGCCAACAAAGATGGTAGCCATGATGGAAACAAAGGCAATGGCAACAATATTGGCCGCTGGTGCCGTTGCACTGTGTTGGTTCAGTGGAGTTATGGTCGTTCTTCTTGTCAGCAGCTGCCCTGGTAACTGCAGTTGCCTTGGCTGGTTCGTTTTTGGTTGTCATGTTCTTGTTGTTGGGGTTCCCGTGATGAGTACTCTGCGGCTGCTCCATGAACTAAGCCAAAAGATCCCAGATCATGCTACTGGCTCAACCTCATTTTCTGCCACGCCGGGCATCCATTTCAAGGGCCTGAATGCAAGGGAGAAAAAGAAGCTCCA